GGAGGGGGAGGGGGAGGGGGGAGGGCTGCTCGTTGGGGCTGTGGGCGGGGAAGGTCGCCCTTGGCTGACAGCCAGTCTAGGTGCCCTTTCCTGGGCTGGATCTCTCACAGCCATTTCAGAGGTGGGCAGGTAATGGGCTCATGAGGGCTCCACTTCATCAATGACTAAATCATTCCTGGATCAATGCACAGATTAGTAAATGCATCTGTTCATCAGCGGGCTCACAGGTTGGTGGGCTGCATTGGGAGGTGACGGGAACTTGGCAGGTGGGCCTAGCTGCGGGGCAGAGTCCTCGAGGGAGTGGCATCAGGGCTTTGTGCGTGCAGGATAGGAGCTCTACCTGAGCCCTGAGCCGCATCCCCATCCCTTAGGGCTGTATCCCCCCCCCCCCCCCCGTCCTTTCCTCCCGCTCTCTGCTTCTTGACTTTCATGAAGTGAGCAGCTTTTCTCTTCCACCTTCCTTCCACTTCTGCCACAGGCCCAGGGCTGGTGGGCCAGGGTGGGCTGACGCCCCTGAAACTGAGAAAGGCATTTTGTCCTAGCGCTGAAACCCTAACTGACACATACTCTCTCCCCAGTGGGCTAACAGGGGTGCTGTGGGCTAGTGTGGGCCTTGGGCTCCTGCTTTTTATTTATTTATTTTTATAATTTAATTTTTATTTTTTGGTTCCTACTTTTTCAAGCAATTTAGATGAGAGTAAACAAGTAATGACCATACCTCAGACTCTTGGTGGTCTGAATGCAGACATGTCCTGATCTGTGTTTAAGTAGCTTAGCACTTCATAAGTACTTTATGAAGAAGAATTTCTTTAATGTGTGTGTGAGAAGACACACACACACACACATACACACACACACACAGACAGACACAGACAGACAGACAGACAGGGACAGAGACAGAAACAGAGACATAGACAGAGACAGACAGAGAGAGATTAGGTCAGTAGTTTTGGCTGCTGTAAGAAGTTACCACAGTCAGGGAAGCTTACACAATAAGCGCCTGTTTCCAGTTCCAGACGCCGGGAGTGAGAGACTGAGATGTTGGTAAGGTTGGGTTCCGGGTGTGGGCTCTGGGCCTGGGGCCTGGGCCCTCTTCTGAGTTTTGGACTGTGACCTCATTTGGTGGGAAGGGTGAGAACAGGGTCTCTTGCACCTTGGGTAATGGCTGTAGTCACGCACTGGGCTCCACCCTCATGAGGAGGAGCTTTCCAGCCCCACTCTGAACACCGTTGTCACGGCTGTGAGGGTTGCAACCTGTGAGGTTTGAGGAAACATAAATATATTCAGTCTGTTGCAACACTCTTTTTAAAAGATGTATTTGGTACAGGGCCTCACTGCTCAGCAGCTTGGACTTGTGATTCTCTTCCTATGTCAGCCTCCCCAGTGCTGGGATTATAGGAGTGCGCCACCAAGCCTGGTCTTGCTGGCTGGCTCAGTGTGCCCAGACACAGGACCAGTGCTGCATGTGGAGCTGGGGATCAAACCCTGGTCCCTGTGCTCCCCTAAGCAGGTGCTTAGTCCACTGAGCTCTCACACCAGCCTGCAGCACTCTTGTTTATGTGCATGAGTATGTACACACAATACACACACACCCACACACCCACCCCCCACACCCCAACTGGTTAGATAGAGCAGGTTAAGGACACCCGAAGCCCAGCATCTTTCTTTCATTGCTGAGACAAAATACCCAACACCCAAAGTTGAAGGAAGAAAGGTTTATTTAGCTCACATTTGTAGTGCTTTTAGTTCATAGTAGGCTGGCTCTGAGCCAGCGTGGCATGGGAGAGGGGCATGGCAGAGGAGGAGTTCTCGGTGGGCAGAAGGCAGCACAAGCAAGCAAGCCCAGACCACGAGCCTCTTCCTGTCCCTTAGCTCTCATCCAGGCTACACCTGCACCCTCAGTTCTAGAGCCCTGGATCCCAGCATGCATCACGGAGCAATCCCAGTATCTAGCCTTACCCTAGATTCAGGCACTTCTGAGAAGACCCACTTAGGGCTGCATGAGGCTTTGAGGTCCCCAAGGCACAGCCATTATGCCCACTGAGGGTGGAGCCTGTGGGGGACACCCCACCTGGAGCAGGGGTGATAGACGGGGGGTGCAGAGTGTGCTCCACCCCTGGGCATCTGCTCCTGAGATGGCCCTGTCCTCAGAGTGGGACCATCACCCCCTTTGGCCTGGAAAACATGGTTGGCCTGGAAACCCAGGTGTACCCTCTCACGTCTGTGGCCTGTGATTCGTCATGGAAGAACAGTGGCCACTCTCGGGCTCATGTGCTGGGCACTTTCCAAATCACTACACCCAGGGCGGGCATGTGACTAGTCCTGGTTTAATGGTGAAGAGGAAGAGCCATCTGAGTGTGTCTTAGGCTTGGTGACAAGATCCTGCGCTGGCTAGTGGGGCCCTATGGGGACTGTATACTCTCTTGCTTCATCACAGATTCTGAGCAGGTGTCGGCCATCAAAGCCGTGAATGTCAGTGCCACAAGCCTTAGCCTGACCTGGAATATGAGCCACAGCGGGTCATCCTCCCCCTACACCTATGAGATCTACGTGGTCGGGAACACCGAGTCCCTCAATGTCAGTGCCAATGAGACTTGGGCTGACATCCATGGCCTCAACTCAAGCTCCCTGTACAACATCACAGTGCGTCCTTTCCTGCGAGGGGCGGAGGGCACACCGGGTTTCCTCCAGGTGTACACTGGTGAGTTCGCTCCCGCTGGCCTCCTCCCCATCCTGTGTGGCAGGTCTGTGGGCCCCCAGGGACTCCTACCCCTCAGCATGGGAGGCAGAATGATGGTGTCATTGCCTGGGCCTGACCGCTTGCCACTTTCCCTGCACTGTCTCATTGAATACTCCCAGCCTCCCTGTGACGTGGTGACGTTGGCCTCATCTTTTGGGTGAAGAAGCCAAGGTGAGGGAGGGGATGTAGGCAGGTGTCACACCTGGTGGGTGGCAGAGACTGGGTAAAAGCTCTACTCTAGATAGAGCTCTGGGGTGAATTGAGACGAGAAAAGGAGAACCTGGATGCTCTTGTCTGGGCGTCCTTGGAATGCTGACCCTGTAAGGAAGTGCGCGTCTTGTCCTTTGATTGTCAGTGTCCCAGTCAGAGAAGATAGGCTAGCAAGCTAACTTTTTGTTGCGAAGCAACAAGTACCGTGAAGTAAAGCAGTAGTGGTGCTCAGGCACGTGGCAGCATGGCAGCGTGGATGGCGGCAGTGTCCTGTGCTCTACAGGCATCACAGTGGTCTTTGTGGTAGGTATTGGGCCCCCTTTGCAAATGAGAAAACTTCAGCCAGCATGGCTGAAGAGCTGACCCAAGTCCACTGAGCGGGCAGGTAGCGGAGCAGGGACTGGAACCTGTGAGTGCCTGGCGCAGGGTGCAGGGCCCGCCCGTCCTGCTGCACTGCCTCATCCAGGAGCCCGGGGCCTCCCAGCCGGCTCACAGCTTGGGCCTTCTTGCAAGTGTCCTGGGGGCTGGCTTTTTGGCGAAGATGAAATCTGATTTCATTGCTTCACCTTTTGCTTTTTGACACCATGAGTTAGGGTTAGGTTCCGCTGTATCAACCCTCACGGTCACTTGCTTGACTGAGGAGTTCATCTCTGTCTCAGGTAAAAGTAGCCTGTGTTAGGCAGTATGGAGACGCGAGAGGGTCAGCCAGGTCACAGTGCGGGAAATGGAAAACTGGGCTGTTTCAAGCCCAAAGGGCTTTATCCTGGAAATTGGGAGTTTATAGAATCACTGGAAAGATACATGGATTATTTTTCTAGGGCTGCATGTTGGGTATTGGAGTGGCAGTAGGCGTGGCTTCCTGGCTTCTCTTGGCCTGTGGGTGGTGCCCTGCCCAGGTCAGACTCAGCTGGACAGCTGTCTCACCTGAGATCCTGGCACAGTCACATTGAGTGCAGGATTAGGACTTCAGCATGTGTACCATGGGGCATAATTCAGCCCATAAACCAGGGAATGGGATTTCGCTCAACCCCTAGAACTGACTTCACACTGAGGCCATAGAGCTGACCCACCTGGCCTCTCACTCTGCCCACACTGTTTGCCCTCATGGGCAGAGTGAAGAATTGGGAAGCCTTGGCTTCTGCTGCTAGATCCAGGAAGCTGTATTCTGGGCTGTCATCCTAGGACCAAGAAGCTGCCACCAGCAGCAGCACTGTGCTGGTTCTGGAGCCAGGCAGCCTGAGCTCCAGCCATCACATCCACGTTCCAGATCTAGGAAGGATGCAGGGCCCCAGGCAGAGCTCCACCCTTCAGGCTCAACTTTCTGGAGGCTACAGGGCTTCTGCTCCCATTCCTCACATTCTGTTGGCTATAGCTGAGTCATGTGGCTCCTTATAGCTGCAAGGGAGGCTGGGAAATGGTGGCTTGATTCACCACAGCCATATACGCCATCAAAAATCTGGGAATGTTGGATGTATTTTGGGGCCATCAGCAGCCCCCATAAAGACAGGCTCAGGGGGCCTTAGTGCTACCAAGAAAAGGCAGCCAGCAGGGACCAGGGGTCTCCAGAGCTGACCCTGACCCAGTGCCCTTGGCTCCTGTCTTGTCCCCAAGTGGCCTTGTCATGGATTTGCAATCTTGTGGCCCTGTGCTCTCACTCTGGTCAGAAGCTGCAGTTGCTGAGATACTTGTGCTATAGTTGCTGATTGGGAGGCGTGCAGGGAGCCTGGCATCCCCACTGGGCAGTGGTGGGTCAGTGGGAGCATTTGGTGGTGGTTGTCACCGTCTCTGGGGACACAGACCTTCCCCTCACCCTCCCTGTCTCCCCACAGCTCCTTTTCCAGTCTCTGACTTTCGAGTGACGCATGTAGGCACGCGGGAAATTGGCTTAGCTTGGAACAGCAGTGACTCAGAGTCCTTTAAAATCGTCACAACCCAGGACATGTCTGGAGAAGTTAACAGCACCAACACCAATGACCAGTGGATTTTCATTGAGTACTTAAGGCCCGCAACCAGCTACCGTTTTGAGATATTTCCACAAGGACCCAACGGGACTGAAGGGGAAGGCAGAGTCGTCCACATTAGCACTGGTAAGTGAGCAGACTGCTGTTGCTCAGTCCTCCAGCTGTTTTTCTTTCACTTAAGAAAAATCTTAAACATACCTTATGACTGTCCTGTTACTAAACACAGATGAGCAAAAATAAGAACAAAAGATATTATTGACCAGAGTTGTCTTAGTTACTCTTCTCTCGTTGCTGGGACAAATACCCGACACTCAAAGGAAGGAAAGGTTTATTTAGCTCACAGTTACTGGAGGCTTCAGCCCATACTCAGCTGGCTCCAAGGCAGAGCAGCACATGGCAGAGGGCAGCCTTTCATGGTGGAGGCAAAGAGCAAGAGCACAAGGGAGGGGTAGCAGCAGCTCAAGCAGCCGGCTTCTCTTCCCACCTTATATTGTAATGCAGATTACCTGCCCCAGGGCAGGGGCAGCAGCCACACCCACAGTGATCAATCACAAACTCCAGAAGCCACCCCAAGACTGCATGAGGCTTTGGGGGGACACCTAGAAACAAACCATAAGAAGAGTGAATCTGATACAATTTTAGATTCTCTCTCTCCCCCTCTCCTCCTCTCTCCCCCCTCTCCCCTCTCTCCCCCTCCCC